TAAGTGGCTAAGTTGATAAAGAGATTACTATTATTAATATTTTATATGTATTTTCTACAGCCTGCTTTTGATCCTGACAATGTGGAGTACTGGATTAAGGTAAGGACATTTTAAAATTAGGTGTGAAAGAATTCAGAGTCAAGCATACTCAGGTGGAAAAGAAAAACTAACATATTCTAATTAGGACATACTTTGCTATTTTTTAGAAAAGAAATACTAATCTTCAATTTGCACTTATTTTGCTATTCTTATGTTGTTATGTATGTTGTCTCAGTTTTGTACTTTTTATTACTTTTTATTCTGTTGGTTTTCATGAAAGCATTTACGTGTAGATGATGAGAAAACAGGTGTGTGGATATGTCCTCAAATGTCATGAGGATCACATGGAGTAGATGGAAGGAAGAACAGGAAAGAAGCCTACTTGGATGCGGAAGGACTACTATAGTTTCACTGACACAGGGGACCAGTGGGTAAAGGCTAGATGTGCATCACAAGAATTTTCTAATATCTAGAACAATTGAGAAATGGAGTGAGCATCCTCATAAGGAATGTTTTTTTGTCACTGGAGGTATTCTAGTGAACTCTAAAAGGATACTTAGTTTTAGGCTAAATAAGAATATACTTGAGGGCTGGGGATATAGCTCAGTGGTGCAATGCTGCCTAGAGAAATGCAAGGTCATGAGTTCGATTCTTACTACAAGAAAAAAATATATATATATATATTTTTGAGCATTTGGTGAGAGGAGGTTGTGTTATATTACTTCTGAGGTCCCTCCCCATCCTCAGCTGTATATTTCTGAGTCCAGATACCATAGATGGAAAGTGCCTTTAAACCACTTCAGGGGCATGCCTCTGCATAGCAGTTTTGCAGCTTGCTATGGCCAATTCACAAATGCACTACAGTTCAGAGTCACACAGCATTCTTCTGGGAAAACGTTCTCTTCTGGGTAGTATTTTGAAGGGCTGTTTCTTACCTAAATTGACGTGCATTTTGAGCACGAAGCCAGATGCACTGGTATTAATTATGTGTTTACTAAGTACGAGCCAAATATGTTGAGTACTGGATCTAAAACAGGACACAAGGCAAGTGTAGTCTTTGATCACCCAGAGCTCATGGCCCAGTGAAGCATGAAAAACTTGCCACAAGTTGATGGGAGAATTAGATTGGTCATGGAAGCCTGTTGTGGGAGACGTTAACCTAGATGGGGCAGGAGAGGCCTCATACTCCTGCAGAAGGCCTGATTCAGAAGGCAAGCATGGTGAACCCTGGGCTGTGAGAGGACCATCCCACATCCAGTGAGCCTCGCTCGCATGTGGTGTTGAGAGTCCCTGTGCCAGGTCCTTGCAGGGCTTTCTGACGGCTAGTTACTGTCTCTTCTAGAATAATCTTTTATTTAAGGTTTTAAGTAAAATAGAGGGCAAAGTTCTGATCTATCTTATCTGAACCATTTTCCTGTTTCATAAAGTTGTGAGCCAATCTAACTGAGATTTTAGCATTCTTATAGTAGTTCTTTCTCCACTGTATTCTCAAATATCTCATCTGAACAAAAACCATGAAGTCTTTTTATTTGGCCATGCAGCCCATCCTGATTGCTGAATGATTTCATTTTATCTAAAGTCTTCAGATATATAGTCTACATTCCTTGCCTTTGTATTTTAATTATTCTCTCATGTATACAATTATTTTCCTGTTCAGTTTCTGTCCCATAGAAACTGTTACTATAAATGATTTCCTGGCCAAATCCAACAGCTTCTGAATACTCTCAAACTTTTTCAGTTTACCTTTGTTACTTCTTTTTTTTTTTTTTTTTTAACTCTAGAAATCCTCTATTACCTTTTTGTAGCACAGCTTTCTCCTGCTTGTCCTGTTACCTCTGTTCACTCCTCTGTCTTCTGATTTTGCTCTCTATTGTGTTTCAGATATGAGTAAAACTAATCAGTTGCAAGCTGTGGACCTAAGGTCTCAAATCTACTTGAATGGACCACCTCTCAAAATCAGCTGAGGCTTTGTTCTTCAGAAAGAGTAGGGAGCATCCTGAAAGAATATGAAGGAGAGAGAATCTTTTTTTTTTTTTTTTTTTTTTTTTTTTTTTTTAGGAACTGGGGAATGGAGAGAGAATCTTAAGAAAGGTCTCTCTTTAGAACAGAAAAGGAAGGTTGCTCAGCAGCACTGGGGACCTATCATAAGTTTTCATGGTGCCAAAATTGGTAAATTGGATTGATTCGGGCTTGGAGGTTTCAAGAATGACATGAGATAGTAGTTGAAATATCCACACTGAGTAGGAAGCGAGGAAGAGAACTTTAAAGAGACTGAGTTAGGAAGGAAGGATAGCAAATAGTGACTGAGGACTTATGTAGGTCTAACATTAATGTTGTGTACAGGGCATGAAATAGGGACACAGAAGATTGAGTTTGCAGAGTGCATTATCAGTTTGCCTCAAGGAATGAAGTATTCTGTGTGACATTGTTCAGGGGACTGTGTCAGCGGGTTGCTAATATGGAGCTGAGGGTGAAAGCTTTTGGAATACAGAGGATCAAGCAAACCTCACAGCTGAGATAGTCAGTCATCCTCAGGTGAAATTGCTTAGAATCAGCTAGCTATTCCCGTGAGTCCTGCAGCAGTTCAACCAAAATGTAGCGGTCATGCTTTACAGATCCTCTTCATCCCCATTAGATAGGTGAGCTCATCTTAGGCCACTGCATTCTGCTGTCAAGCTTTTTAGACATTTCCAACAGGTCAGCTCTCCATTCTTGGACATTCAGATAAAACTGAATACCATCAGATAAAACTGTAAATTCCAGATGTCCACTTAAGGCATTGTGTCGATTGGGCTATAATATCAAGTATCGTGAAACAACCTCAATACTGATGCTCTATGTGTCTTGTACTCTCAGGCCATTCTCCTTATCCTACATCAGGGTGTGTGTGTGTGTGTGTGTGTGTGTGCACGTGCGTGCATGTGTGTGTGTGTGTGTGTGTGTGTGTGTGTGTGTGTTTGAACATGCTAATCCCTCAACCTAGAATACCTGTCCTCTAAGAAGCCAGTCCACTCTTTCCCCTGTAGCTCAGCATGAGATATCCTGTGGTGAACAAATCCCCGTCACCCACCTCAACCACCTAATTTTATCCTCTGATACTCTTTCCGTAAGAATTATTGACATTTGTACTCTCATTTGTTGATTCATCATCCATTATTTGCTTTTATACAGCAAATTGAAAAGAATTAGTCACTTTAAAATATATATCATTTACAAAACTATTATGAGTGCATATGCAGTATTCACATGAGGATCTGTTAAACTTGGTTTTTACCTAAGTCTTAAAGAAATGAAGGAGTACGTTGTGTCTCTGCCATCCCTGGGGACCCTTGGGACATGAGGCCCATGGGTCGGATCATAGGAATGACTGGGGTGTTTCCCTTCCAAATTACATGCATATATATACAATAGTTACTGAGTAATAAACTTTTGAAGGTGTTCATTTCTTTTAATATCACTGTTCTGCCTTAGAACTCTTCTTCAGTTGTTAGTGGTACACATGCATATGGAACAAAACTAAAAACATGAACTGCCTGCTCCCCAGTGCTGACCACAGTGCTGGGAACAGAATGAGGCTTCCACCAGACTTGTTGAAAAAATAAAATGTTATATTGATACAGTGTTTTACTGGAATATGGGATAGATCCCTTCTACCTCATGTACAGTGGTGCCTCGGCTCACGAACTCAGTTCTCTCCATGATTCTGGTCACAAACCAGAACTGAACTAAATTTCTCCATAAGATCAACAATGAACCTAATCACTGAACTTGATTCAGTTCTTGTCCAATTTGATTTGTGACCAAAATTTGGAAAGAACTCAGATACCACTATATTACTTTGCAGAGTCTAGTGAAAAGGAAGTATTTTATTAGTATATTTTAGACACACATAATGGTCACAGTCATCATAAAGAATTTGTACCTGTACATGATATAACTTGTTTTATAACTTGTTTTCCCCCACTTACCCTCCCTTCAACCTCTCCTCCCCTCCCTATGTAGAAAGCTTTGTTTCCATGTTTTCCTTTTCTCATTTTTCTTTTACTTTTCTCCTTTCCTTTTACCTTTCCCCTCTCATTCCCCTCTCCATTTGAACATTTTACAAGGAAATAGATAAAGATTTCTAATCCTTAGTATCATCTCATAGGTGAAAAAACAAATCTTTGCTTTAAATGATACCCCACACACTTGCTTTGTTAAGAGCCATGCAAACATTTCGCCTTACTCCTTTGTGCATACCACTCTTTCTTTAGTGCCAGGGTCAGTCTTCCTCCTTTTAGCTGCTGAGACTATCTAGTCTCAAAAAACTGACAAATTCCAGCTTAGATGAGACAATACATCGAGCAATTATTTATCTTACTCATTTGCCTGAAGGACCAAATCATGTCTTACAAACATATATATGTTTGTGGGTGTTAGTTTAAAAACTAAAGTTGATCAATTAATTTGTACATTGTTTACATATATTATATGTGTGTATATACTAACATGTCCTAGTATAATATGTGAAGGTAAGGGCTCTCCTACCTATAAATGCAGTAAAAGATATACACTACCACTGACCAACTCAAAGGAGGCCATATATTTTGATTAAAAAGGAAAAAAAGATTAAGTTGAAGCTAGTGCTGAGGAACAGAGGGGCCCGTTTGCATGATACCATGCTCACCTTGTAGAGGTGGGTAAGTGTCCTTTTTAATAAGGCGCAGAGGGGAGAGGAGCAGAGACACATTGCAGAACTCCACACTCGCTGTATCCCCAGCCATCTTTAGCTGAGGGGTGGGAACCAGGCAGACCTCCACACCTGCTTTGTCACTTCCATACATCTTTGATTCTTTCTTCTTTCTTGTGAAAAGGAACCTGGGCTCTAACTCCCGAGGTATCTGTATATTCTGTCAGTTCTTTTAGACTGAGGGGAGGACGTACAGTAATATATCGGTTCACAAACTGTTCTGTTCACAACCAATTGAGTCTGCACACAGAAACATTTGGCAGAATTTTGCTTCCCTGCATGAACTTTGCATTAGGTAACAAACACAACTGCGGTCATCTTGCCTAGAATC